ATACTAAAAGCTACTTTGATTCAATGTGGCAGAAAAATAATTAAGAGCAGTTAAAAACAGGGGTGCCTGGGTGGCTCAGTCATTAAGCATCTGCCTTTGGCTCAGGTCATGGTCCCAGGGTCCTGGGATCAAGCCCCACATCGGGCTCCCTGCTCTGCAGGAAGCCTGCTTCTCCCTCTCCCACTCCCCCTTCTTGTGTTCTCTCTCTAGCTGTGTCTCTGTCAAATAAATAAAATCTTAAGAAAAAAAAAAAGAGTAGTTAAAAACAGTGAGTAGCACTCTAGAAGAGTGGTTAAGAACAGCACAGAACCTGGATCCAGATAGCATTGGTTTGAATTCCATCTCTACCATTTACCTAACAATGTGGTTTTGAGCATATTTATATATTGTCTCTGTGTCTGTGTTACAGCTAAGAGGGATCTAAGTAAAATGCTTAGAAACACAACTGGGAAATAATGGTCTAAGTTTTAGCTATCATTTTTCTATTGCAAAGGCAAAATTTCAGCTGGAAACATGATGATATTAGTAAGACAAATAGAAGTTATCATGTACCTGTGACACAATAAATTTTATAACAGCAAAATAGATAATTATTTCTAAATCCTTATGTTTACATCACAGAAAAGCAATTTTCAATAATATTACCTAGTCTTATCTTGGCTTCACCAAATACAATGTATCTTGGGCAAGTTAATATATTTGTGCCTCAGTTTCCTCATCTCTAATGGGGATAATTATAGTACCTACCAGAAAATGTTCAGAGAATTAAATAAGTTAACTAAAGTGAAGCACTTTAAAAAGTTAATAGCAGGGGTGCCTGGATGGCCCAGTTGGTTAAGCACCTGACTCTTGGTTCCAGCTCAGGTCATGATCTCGGGGTCATAAGATCGAGCCCCACATTGGGCTCTGTGCTGGGCATGGAGCCTGCTTAAGATTCTCTCTCTCCCTTTCCCCATCCCCACGCCCCCGCACCCCCAAAGTGCATGCTCTCTCTCTAAAAGAAAACGTTAATAGCAAATAGTAAGTACTCAAAAATTAAGTGTTATTTATTACTCACTTAACACATTCTAAGAAGCAGAATATAAGTGTGTGTGTATAACCATGAGGGTCACAAATGCAAAGAAATACAGCATTAACTTCAGGCCCAATAGTACAGACAAGCTCAGGGAAGTATACTGATAAAAGTAAAAAATATTCAACAATCTAAATTTCTGACTCACTTTCTCATCTATATAAAAAGGGATTTCTATGAGATAACAAAAATTCCCTTCAGTTTCAGATTTTAGGGAACTGTGGCATGCTACAGAGTTAATATTCACAACAAAGTATACCCTTTTAGAATATTGTAACTAATTTTTGGTATTAGCCAAGATGAAAGTATTTCCTTCTTGGCAATTGCCCCAGGCAAAGTTCATTTAAGTAGCCTGGTGAGCATTCTCACAAATTTAATTCAATCTCAAAGGACTGATATATAATCCTGTATCTATCCTAGAGTAGTTTCAAAAGAAATTATTTAAGAGTGAATTTTTCTATAGTCTCTTGGTAGCTCAAAGTACGTATTCCAAATAACCAAAAAAAAAGGTAGATGTTTTTTACTTCAAAAGGCAACAAATTATATCTTTAACATAACCTTAATCTTAAACATAATCAAACTCCTCTATCAGAGCAACATATGAGAAAAATACATAAATTGTTAAATAAGTGATGACCAATGGGAAACTGACTGGCTTGGTTGGTACAATGTCAATTTTTTAGCCATCTAAATTCAATTGCTTACTTGGGTTTTTCCTTTCATTAAAAGAAAATAATAAACTGAAGCTTCTGGCTTGGACAAAATAACTTCAAACATCCTACAGAGAACAGATACTAGATAAACCACAGAGAGAAAAAAAGCTTTTGTTTGAAGGTATCTAAGGACAATCAAAGCAGCCGACACTTGAGTGACAAAAATTCCAGAAAGAAAGGAAATGCATGAAGGTTACTGGGTACAAGGTTAGAATGCAAAAGTCAAGTGTATTTTTATACATGGAATATACCACATTCATGGATGGCCTAATATTTGTAAAGAAGTTAACGGTATTCACATTGATCTATAGGTTCAATGCAATGCCAATCAAAATTCCAACTTTTTTTGGTAGAAATTTAAAAATTGATCTTAAACCTATACAGAACTATAAAGAAAACCAATGCAATCTTGAGAAAGAAAACAAAATTAGAAGACTTATGCTATCAGAAATTAAGATCCATTCTAAAACTATAGTAATTAAGACAGTCCGAGACTAAATAGACAAAATTGAATAGAGTCTATACAAGAGCCACACAAATAGTTTCACTCAAAATTAATGAAAAAGATGATGCTGCAGTAAAGTGGGCACACTGGTCTTTTCAATAAATGGTGGTAGATACCCATATGGGCAAAAATGCACCTTGATCCCTGTCTTCATACAATTCACAAAAAAATCAATTCCAAACAGATTACAGACCTAAATATTGAAGGTAAAACAATAAAGCTTCTGGAGGACAGCTTCATAGGAAGCGTATTTTCATAATTATGGGGTATAAACAAAAATTTCTTAAGCAGAACATGACATGGAAAGGAAAATACTGTTATATTAGATTTAATTAAAACAAAGAATTTCTGTTTATCAAAAGACAGCATTAAGAAAGAAATTAAAAAACAGGCTCACATAGTGGGAGACAATATTTGCATAACTTTTATCTGAAGGAAGACTCAAACCAAAATATATAAAAGAGTTATAAATGGTACAAAATAAACAGACAACCCAATTTAAGGAAAAGTCATCAAAAGATTTAAATAGTCACTTCACAAAAGAGGATACCTAAATGGCAATAAACTTATGAAAAGAGGTTCAATTCATTAACTACCAGGGAAATATAAAATAAAACCATCATATCGATCATAAAAAAATAAAAATGAAAAAAAAATCCTAACAAAAAATCTGAGTAAGGAAGTACAGCAACTGAAATTGTCATACAATGCAACGACTAGTGCACCTATTTTGGGATACCATTTGGCAATATCTACTGAAGTTGAACATGTGCATACCCAGTGACCAAAAATTTCTATCCCATTTTATACCCACATAAATTCACATACATGTATATAAAAACATGCACAAAATATTCAAAATGGCTTTATTTGTAATACACAAAAACTGGAAACAACCCAAATGTCCATCAATAATACAATGGACAAATCGTGATGTATTTATCAAATGGATATTAAAGATAATATACAGTATTAAAATTGAATATACTGTGGGGCGCCTGGATGGCTCAGTTGGTTAAGAAATCCAACTCTTGATTTTGGTTCAGGTCATGATCTCAGGGTCATGAGAATGAGCTTCACATTGGGCTCCGCACTCAGTACAGAGTCTGCTTGAGAGTCTCTCTCTCCCCTCCCCCTGCCCCCCCCCCCCCCGCTCATTCAAATCATTGCCAAATCTTACAAAAGTAACCTTATTTTCCCTTCTATCATCATGGTTAGTGTTTTTTCTTTTGAAATGATACAAGAAGGAAATCTTAAGTATGTGACCCTGAGACCATGACCTGAACCAAAATCAAGAGTTGGATGCTTTTTAAAGTGACTTTACAAATTGCCCTACTGGGCAAAGAAGGAAATAGGTAAAATACAAAAATCAGTACTTTAATTCTTTAGAATGAGTGGTAGATCCTTTTATGGATCTCAAAACCATTCACTAGGAAGATGTACTTAGGGATAAAATACCCATCTGCATATGCCATCCCCTAAGTAAATGTTTGTGTATCAGCTTCATCTTTGAGGAGATTATAGAGATGATTTAAACATAGACCTAAAGTTCATAATTTGGTAGAAATTCAGTTGTAAGTATCTTGAATACACCTGGCATTTTATTTAAGTTTATTTAACTATTTAATATTATTTACATTTACTTAATAAACTTGAATTCTCCCTACATAAAATGTGACCTATCATCAGCTTTCTAATTTCCTAAACAGTAACATCTCTTCCTTTCTGTAGTATTTCCACAAATATTCTACTGTCTCATAGGTTAGTATGTGAATATAATAAACACATTGGGTAATTTTCTCATATAGGGTCTAATATAGGACTCTTGTTTGAATCCTGACTCATGAAACATATGCTTAAAAAAAATGCCTGTATGTGATCAGGAAAATCTGAATCTATCTGGATATATGATAATATTGAATTATTGTTAATTTTTTAGATATAATAGTGGCATTATGATTGTATTTTTAAACAGAGTCCTTATCATTTAGATACATAATGAAATGGTTACAGATGAAACTACATGACTACTATTTCCTCCAAAATAATCCCTGGGAGAGGGTGAGAGAGGACAGTGAGGCACAGCTGAAGTGAGAGTGACCTCGAGTTGATCAATGTGGTAGCTGAGCTATGGATATGGGGAGGCAGGGGTCAGGGGAAGGGTACTTAAGTTGTTCTCAAAACTTTAGGGTACATTCAAAATTTTCCAAAAGGGAAACAAAAAAAGAGAGAAAGAACTACAGGTAAATGATTAATTTTGGAAGTCTTCTCAACTAAGAAAGATGCTAGTGTATTCTCTGGACACAAGACATTAATTTGCAAAATTCATGACACGTTCATCTGCATTGCCCGTCACATTACTAAAATCACAAGGATGCAGCCGTCAGAGAAAGAAACTTTTGATGCTGGTAGAAAAACAGGACATCACTGAAAACTGAAGATCACAACTTAGTAGGTGCATATTTACAACTACATAAAAGTAAAGTCTCTTTAATGCTGTAGGAATGGGGGGAAAGGGACAACTTCAGAAATGCAACTATAGTACTAGATAATTTTCCTCTTTAAGAACTACACTCTTACATACAAACTACATATTCTAGGAAATATTGGGATGTGGGACAAAGAAACTAAGGCTGTTGTGTTTTAGCCTCATTTAATAATGAAGGCTCAACTTCAAATACAGTATCATAATTAAATATTTTCAAATTACCTTAACATTATACTCAGGATGAGAATTCATATAATCAAAAAGCAGCTGATAATTCTTATACTGATGATCCCATTCTATGCGTTCACAGTAGCGAAAATCATCTCCTAGTGGGGCCAGGACAACTGTAGTATGGAAGAGCTTTGACTTCTTTCGGTACTGATCTAGAAGCATCTCAGCCCTACAAAAGAAAAAGGAAAATAAGAACAGTACTAAGAAAAGGACAATGGGGCAACTCATTAAAAAGTGTATTATGTTAAAAGAAATTGTTGTATATTTTACCTGTATTCTAGGTTAGTATGATTTATAAGGCAGATTTTTTAAAACTACTATACTAATTTTCATTATCCACTTAAAATATTCATAAATTTTGGGGTGCCTGGGTGGCGCAGTTGGTTGAGCATCCAGGCTTTTGGTTTTGGCTCAGTCATGGTCTCTAAGTCATGAAATCAAGCCCCGCATTAGGTCCTGTGCTCAGCGCAGAGTCTGCTTGGGATTCTTTCTCACTCTCCTTCTGCCCCTCCCCTCTGCTCTTTCTCTCTAAAATGGATAAATAAATCTTCTAAAAAATATATTCATAAATTCTTACCAGAGAGAAAAACCCACAGGTTTCCAATGGATTATCCTTAGAGAAATAAAGTCACATACCAACTTTGACATAAAATTACTGGGAACATCAATGGCCTCCTGAAGCCCGGCCATAGACACTGGATCCCAGATTGCCTGTATTTTAAGATAATTTAGTCCAAGAAGACAATAAGGATTTCTTATCTATATAAACTTTGAAGTTGGCTTTGACTCAAGATGCCTTTCTCTAATTTGATCTAAACTTGCCTGATTACACATAAAAAAATTAATAGTTTGAATGAAACCAATTATAGAACCTGATTTCCTCTTCAAACGGAAGAAAAACAACTCACTTAACACCTGCCATCAATAAACTGGATATCTGTCAATGTCCTTCTCAGGGCTGATCAACAGATAAAGTTTTGGAGATCAAATAGCTTTTTTGATTTCTACCTTCCTCAGATCTAACCCATGAGTCCAAAGGTCAGCTAAATACTAAATGTGCTGATGTGTTTTTATATTTCATATTATTCTAGTATTCTGCAGAAAACCTTTGGGGTTGAACTGCTGAATGCTGAACCGGGGTACCATTTGAGGAAGTCTAGGAATACAAAGTATTTAAGAGGAATGGCTTATAAAAATGAAATTAAATAAGCGGATGAAGAACTCAGAGTAGTTCTCTATGTTTGTAATGCCAAGCTTAAGAAATCAGTGATAAATGACTAATGTGCTTTTTACCCAGTATTCCAATTTTCATTTCTAGGGTTATCGAGAAGTTCCAATTCACAATATAAAAACTTACGAAAGAAACTCAAAGACCATCAATAATGGAACGAAGTATTTTATAAAATTAAAAACATTTAACTAAATTTAGAAATTCACATGATCTTTTTATACTGATAGTCTCTGAAACTGCTTTGCAAATATTAAATTATTAGCAAAATTCAATAACTTGGTGAGTAAAATATAACCATAATGTTCTTACATAACATAGTTTTCTGAGATTAGCGTTCAGTAGAGTACTTAATTTTTACTAATAATTTACTAATATTCCACACTTAACCAAAAATAACCTTGGATTATTAGTTATAATTAAAAAAATACATGTCTAATGAGACTAATCAAATAGAAAGAAAAATAAGAGAAAAAAACCAAACATATAAATCAGATATGAGAAAGATACACTATGACTGAGCATCCAATCAGATTCCCCTAGGCAACCAGCATAGAAAAGGATAAGTGATCATTTAAATGAATGCCAAGGTTTACTACTAGATATACCATATCTTGTGTGTATATGCATATGACACATAAGAGGAAAGAATCACAAACATTAAGTGTGAGTCTTCCATTCAGCATCTGTCCTAACTCCCAAGCTCCTGCTCAGAAGGTGTCAACACGGAATTCAAGAGACCAATCTATACTACCTGGTAGAGAGTGGATATTCACTAAATACATTGTACACTAATGCCAAATGAAATGACCGATATCACACTTGAAGATGTGCAGCAGCAATCTGCTCTTCACTCCTACCAGGTTAGAAATGTCAACTTAACTAGAACCATTTGAGGGAGTCACTGTATGGATGGGGCATGGGGGGAGGGGGAGCATTGAGCAGCCGGGGGAGGGGGCCCTCGGGCGGGGGTCTTGTGTGAGGAGGAAGTTGGGTAAGGGGACCCCAGGCAGTGGTGACCTCACTTCCCTGACAACAGAGCCCAACAGAATTTGGAACCCCGGTAACCAGGCACCCACATTCCAGAGACAGCCCCCTGCCCAGCTCATTTCTTTGGAGACCCTCCAACAAAAAGCATGTTCGGGTGCTGCTTCCCCAAATCTGGACGCTGCAGGCTGAAGAAAGAGCGCCCTGCAAACACTGTCCCCCGCTGGGGATGTCGAATCAGGGCTCCCCACAGCCTCTGGCCATTTGGCCGGAAGGACAGAAAGGTGACACCAGGAGGCCCAGAGCCTGCCACCCAGCCCCACACGCTCTGATCTGCCTGTGCAGCCCCAGGCCCCCCTCCGTGTGTGTGTGTCTGTGCGTGTCTGTGTGTGAGTGTGTGTGTGCGTGCGTGTGTGTCTCTGTGTGTGTGTGTGTGTGTAAAGAGGGGTCATGCAGGGTGGGGCCACCCTGAGCAGGAGCAGGCTGATGAGGGGTCAGATTCCCAGTGGGCAGGTCATGTTCAAGGTCAAGGCTGGCCGTGTCGGATGGGGTGTGTGGGCGCTGCCCCTTCTACCCAGGGTTTATCCAGATAGCCCTGCAGGGATGGGTCTCTGCATCCAGGGTGCAGGGCTGTGCACTCACAGGACTGTGTCTGATCTGGGAGCAGCAGGGGGACTGGGCAGGAGGACAGTGAGGATGGCCCGGCAGGGCTGTGATGCCTCCAGCCAGCTACCCGTCCCTGTCTTTGCAGAAGGCCACGGATGACCTCCCGAGGCGGCTGGCGGACATGTCCTCCTCCCTGACGGAGGGGTTGACCCCACAGGCATCCCCCAAAACAAGTGCTGGGGATTGCCGGGCAAGACCTCCAACACCCCCCAGACCACTGTCCCAGGTGCTTGGTCACCGGACAGTGGTCCAGGAGCCGGAGCCCACGGAGACCGAGCCCGAGGGTGAGAAGGCTGGGGCTGGGTGTTTGTGGTGTGTGGGGATGGGTCGGTGCTGGCCCCACAGGGACGAGCCCCCAGAGGCTGGTGTGGGGCCTGGAGCAAAGACTGGGCGCAGAGCATCCAGCGGGTGGACTGCAGTCGGGGAGACACCCCAGGGAGGGCTCCTTCCTGGCTGCGGCTTCTCTGGGAGGCCCTGGGCTGGGTTCTGTCTCCGCAAAGGCCCACGGAGAGCGGGCTCGGGGTGAGCTTTTCTCCTCTCACAGCTGCTCCAGCACCTGAGGAGCTAGAGCCGGTTCCAACTCCATCGGGAGCTCTGGAGGGAGGGGTGGTGCCTGCAGCGACTTCAGGAGGAGACCAGGAGCCGGCAGGTGACCCGGCACCCACCCACGGACAGCCTGACGTGGACCAGGAAGAACTGGCACCTGCCCCGGACCCAGCTCCTGCTACTGTTCCTGCCCCTGACCCAGCTCCTGCCCTGGATCCTGCCCCTGACCCAGCTCCTGCCCTGGATCCTGCACCTGCCACTGCTGCAACCCAGCTCCTGATCCTCCTCCTACCCCTTCCCCTGCCCCTGTCAGACTCCGCTGCCCCTTCCCCTGACCCTTCCTGAGCTCCTGTTCTTGTCCCTGACCCTGCTCCTGCTCATAACCCTACCCCTGTCAGACCTGCTGCCCCTGCCCCTGCCCCTGCCTGAGCTCCTGTTCCTGCTCATTCTGCCGCTGCCCCTTCCCCTGCCCCTGCCTGAGCTCCTGTTCCTGCTCCTTTTCCTGCTCCTGCTTCTGCCCCTGCCCCTGCCAGACCTGCTGCCCCTGCCCCTGCCCCTGCCTGAGCTCCTGTTCCTGCTCCTTACCCAGGTCCTGCCCTAGATCCTGCACCTGCCAGGACTGCTGATCCTATCCCTCCCCTTGCCCCTGCCCATGGCCCTGCTCTTACACCTGGCCCTGCCCCTGGCCCTGCTCTTACACCTGGCCCTGCCCCTGGCCCTGCTCTTACACCTGGCCCTGCCCCTGGCCCTGCCCCTATCCCAACCCCTGCCCCTACTCCTGCTCCCGCAGGGCTCCCAGAGCCACATCCAGAGCCCACAGCCCTGCGGGGAGAGCTCCTTGTACAATTACCCTTAGGTCCATCGCCGGACCCCGACACCCCGCCAGATTGTTTCATCCCCTCCCCCTATGTTCTTTCTCTCTGGTTCATATTGTTCTAGTTCATATTGTTCATTTTCATGTTCTGTATACTGTTTATTATTTGTTTTAAATAAAATTACTTGTTTTCAACTGAACATATGATGAGCATAAGTACATTCCCAACGCTGTGCCACCACACCCCAGAAGATTGCTGCGGAATATCTCATGTCTCAAAGGAGTCCCCGAACCAGAAGCCCCCCTGCCCATTTCGCCCCCAGCCCATACCCTGGAAACCCCTAAGCTGCTTTCTCTCCTTATTCTTTTACTTGTTCTGGATGTTTCTGTACATGGAATCATGCAATAGGAGCCTTTGTGTCTGCCCACTTATTTTCAAAGGGGACTCATTTTCTTCTGTTTATTTGTCATAAAATTTCCCTTATTCGATATTGAAATCCCCGATTGATTACAGATCAGATGTAATCATAGAGGCCACTTTAGGAATTATGGGCACAGGGGCGCCTGGGTGGCTCAGTCGTTAAGCATCTGCCTTCGGCTCAGGTCATGATCTCAGGGTCCTGGGATCGAGCCCCGCATTGGGCTCCCTGCTCCATGGGAACCCTGCTTCTCCCTCTCCCACTCCCCCTGCTCGTGATCTCTCTCCCTCTCACTCTCTCTCGCAAATAAATAAAATCTTTTTTTAAAAAAGGAATTATGGGCACAATCTCGGGGCAGAGACCCCTGTACCTGCTGGGACACCACAGCCTGACCCCAGACAGGAAACGGCTGGTTACTCCTGTGGCCCACACAGAAACCAGGGAAACGCAGAAAGCTGGAAGACACACCACAAAGCAAGGCCAGAGAAAGGTTTCACCTGACTCTGGTC